CAGTAGAACCCATGAGCAAACAAAAGGAAGCAGGATGGAACACCGAAAGCGAGCCCAAGTCTCACTGTGTTAAACCTCCACGTGCCCACAAACTGCACTGTGCTGCGACATAAGACCCGACCCGAACCCAATGTCATGGTGCTTTGTAGCCGAGGGATGCGCCTCGCAGGCCCCACCGAGACCCCGTGAGCGTGCCGAGAGCCGCAAGGACTCGACCAGCTGGTCAGCCTTTGGCTTGCTACATCGGACATCCTAACACTTCACGCCTTAAACCTTGTACACCTGGGTCTATGCTCGCCCTAACCCGCTTAACGTGTGGTTCTGAGTTCGAATCTTGGCCCTTGGCCTCCAGGTGTAGGATTACTGGTCTTGGGGTGTGTTTTGAGTAGGTCTTGGACCGGTGTTTTGACGTCATCCAGGCGCTTGGGTACCAATGCTCGTCTATGTGGTATGTCTCAGCTAGTGTTAAAAGCATCTTCATGAGCTGGTTGAGACAGCTTGCTGGCGCGGGATTAGGGTCGTGGTGTCTCTGAAGCCCAGGCAAGCTCGAAACCCCAGCCAAAGCCTATCCTTTTGACAAATTCTCGTAGCCCATGCAACCCACATACTGTCTAACACCAAACACGGAACAAACATAGTCTATGCAAAGCACCCAGATTGATCATGCCAAAGCTGCTACCAGTACTCGTGCTACAGCGGACTGTCCTAAACAGTGACGCGACGGCTTTCTCCAAAGCCCAAGGTGCTTAAGGTGTCAAGGCCCAGGCATGTATCCGATCTTTGGCGATGATGAGCACGGGTACTCGCTCCCTGGCCTGTCAGGACAGCTGAGACTGGATAGCATGCGAACTTTTGGTGGGGGAAATAAGAGAACACAAAGCCAATCACGAAACTCTGGTATTGTACATGTCCAAAGACAAGAAAGGTCCCAAAGGGTCCGCAAATCTGGGAAGCAAACTCTCTCAAAGATCTGATGACATGACTGCATTCTAGTTACTCGTAATTCTTGATCGCAAAAACCTGACAGAATGTTCATTCTTAATTAGTACATAGATGACACTAGTCTAGTGTTACTAAACTAGACATAGGCGTAGCATCACGTGGTTTACCTTCTTGATTGCAAGCCCGAGACCCATAGACTCCACTCCGGCTCACGTGCGCCTCAAAGGCCACTTCGGCAATGCGGGCTGTCTGGGCCTCGTGCCGCTGCGGTTTGGATCCCAGTGTTTGTGCGAGAGTTCGGTGGTCTTCGGAGGTTTGGGAAGTCCGAAAGCTTCATGCTGTCACTCGGACCGACCAAATGAGGATTTCAAGGATTTTGCACGGGTCGTCCAAAAAACCGAAACCGAGCTTGGAAGGAAATGTCTGGGCCTCCACAGTCTCCTCGACATACACGGGCGTGTGCATCTCCCCCAACTTGGCCGGCAAAGGCCTCGACAGGTGCTCCGATGAAGCTGCAAATAAGGCTTGCTAGAGATTGAGGTTTCGTCATGTCATCATCGTCGCAGATGAACATCACACCACCACTGTGTCTGCGGTCTCGCCAGGCATACCTGTCTTGGCTCTTCCTTAGGCCGCAGCTCGTGGAATGGAGATCCTCTGCAAGTCCTTGCAAACCAACTTAAGAAACATCCGATGAAGAACCGTCCCGGTGCCCGACACATGCCGTCTTGATTGGTAAGATACGCTTCTCTCATGGTAGATACATGTCAAAATTCAAACTTATGTGTCAAACCGGTATTCTGAATCTCGGCACTAATGGTCGAACTCTTCAAGATTGCGTCGGCCGTTCAACCGGAATGTCGGCTTCCGACGCTTGGGGCCCAGCTTCAGGAACGGCGGCACCTCGAAGAACGCTGCACCTGCTGGGACTTGACTAATGCCTCAACCTCAGCGACCTGGACTTAGGGAGTGACAAGGGCTTCATTGCAGGACACCCCAGGAATGGAGACATTCCTAGAGGAGCTCCCTCACAAAGTCCAGCGCCAGCCCCAAAATCCGAAGTCGTTTGGCACTGAAACCTCCAAGGGCCGGGCGATAGGTCTCTTGCAGGAACTTGCGCTCTGGTTCACTGCCGATAGAACCGCTCAAGCCTTGTCACTCAGCACCGCCATGATCATCGTCACGACGGCCCCGGCTACGACGACGATGACGACGACTACCACTAGCACTACAACTACCTACATGATCGCGTGGTGCTGAGGGCGACAAGGGGGAGGAGAAAGAATGAGAAGTAGCCGTACTGGACAACCAAGAAAAACACTACAATAACAACCATCACTGCCACATCTTGTTCACACTGGCAATGGCAATGCCACGACAAGTGTAACTTCCGCGGGCGTTTGCAATCGACTGAACCACTATAAGCGTGCGTCGTCGCAGCATAAAGCACTGGAATACTTACAACGCAACCAATCGAAACACATGCAGAGCGTCATGCAGCCGGAAACACTTGAATTTCTTTGCCACGATCATTTGGTTTTACCCGGTCCTCTTTTAGAACATGCCCACACGGAGCCCAGACTCCGAACACGGGATTAGGTGGGCAGACTTTCAACAACATATACACGCTCAGAACACGCGAGTCAACATCTCAACGGCTAAAGCATCCTAGGCCATGCTAGCTGCGTTTTGAATTCAAGCCTGTTTAGGCATTGCCGCCTGGGCTCCTGGCCCAGTATTCTGTGGTAGCGACGGAAGACGCGGGGTCGCGACCTCGCAAGCACGTCGGAGCATGGGCCTCTGGCACTTATTCGAGGACGGCAGATGACTTCTCGGTCACAGCAGATGAAGCAAAGTCCGCCGAAGCAAAGACATGGCTTGCATACATACATATATACATACATATACATACGTACATAACCATCTTTATGTGTGCATATATATATATATGTATATATATATATATGTATAGAGAGAAAGAGAGAGCGAGAGAGAGGGAGAGAGTGAGAGCGTACATATATATATATATATATATATGGTCAGCCCCCCCCCCCATGATCTACCTCCGTGCACGTATGTATGCCGACCGAAATCCTTTCGCACCGATTCGAGGGAGCGCACTACAGTTGTAAGACGGTCTGCTGGGATGATGAAGAAAGGGAAGCCTTACCCTGTAAATGGGTCCAAGTAGTAGCAACGCGAAAGAGCAGCGGTTCACATCATAGTCTCCAGGACACCGGCATGACGAACAAGCGCTCCTGGTAAAAGATCTCTTTGCCTCGGTCCGCGTCTCGCAAAGATCTAGTCTCCGGCTAGTTGAGAGGGTCTCCTCGAGATCTCTAGTATGAGGGACCAGGCCAACAACTAAATACATAAGTACAAAATTCCTCGTGGTCGGTCACCCGCCGCTAGGATTTGGCGTGGTACCTTGCCAAGCTCATGAACCCTGACTGCAGCCCTCAACAGCCCAATAACCTTGGGCCCGAGGAGCTAAGACCGTCGTGGAAGTTCCGACACTCCAGCGCCAAAGACCAGGCCTGCAGACGACCGGCGTCGGTTTCGGGTTTTGGGTCGCTGCACACGGAAACAACAATGTAAGGAGGGCAGAGAGACAGAGGCTGACAATGCCAGAAGCAGACAGAAGACGGGAAAGAGACAGACACGAGCCACAGCCTTCCAACACCAAAACTCCTCTTTGCACTGTCGTGACCCCCTTCAGAGCACCTTCCGAACCACATGCAGTCAATCTTAAACTTCATTTCGACCGACTGCCTAACCCCAAGCGCGGAAATCCCGGCGACCATCGGCAGCAAATGCTGGGACATGTAGCAACAACCGGTATGCGTCAAACTGCGAAGAAAAGGAGGCACCCAAGCTCTCCGAAGCAGGACAGGCTTCGAAGTAGCTCCCTTCTATCTCCGGCAAAAGCCTGGTACTGGTTACATCCAGCCTATATACCACAAGTGTCTGACACACGAACCGAGACAGATCATGGACACAGTTTTCTTTCCAATACGAAGCTGCAGACGTCAACGAAAAATCACTGTGATCCACCTTCGGGTTGGCTCGACCCGCATGGAGCGCGCAGTATCTGCCGGATTCCTTGGAGTAGACGTAGTCCTGCTACACTGTACACAGCTGTTGAGACTCAGAGTGTGGGGAGCGGGGCACAACACCGCCTTTCGGGTGTAAGTGGACTTCCTAAATGGGTCGGTGTTTATCCTCAAACTGAAGTACCTTTCCTGCAAGGTCCAGAAGCCCTGGTAATTAGAAATAGCTCCTCACCGGAGACGAAGCGGAGACCTCGCTCCCACTCCTGCAAAGTACGCAGAGTTTAGGTGCTCTGGGTTCCTCTAAAGGCAGCAGGCAACAGGACAGATCTGGAGCGGCAAAGTGTAGGCCCCCTTTACTAAATTTAGAGACCTTCTTAGATACAAGTCTATCGTACAAAACGAGCATATCCAGCTTTTAGCAAACAGAGACGAAGAAAGGTCTACAGGCATACACGTATGGTGCAAACTTACAGACATATCAATGACTGTTGTATATATATATATATTGTTGTGATGTATTTGCCTCCATGTTTATATGCTTGACAAGCGTGTTATTGAATATTAAGCCAGTGGTATGCATAACAGAATGCTAAACTAGTGATTAAGTGCTACGTAGTGTGAAGTGCATATACAAGTCCTCAAACTGCACAATACGTACATCAGCATCGAAAGGTCAGCTGGTTTGCAGCCCAAGTATGAAGCATGTGCTAGTTGCCGTTCGCATCCGCTCACTCCGAGATGTATCCTCCATCCTACCAGGTCCTCCCAATTATCAACATGGACTAGGCCGGATTATAAAGAATCAAACGCTCAGCGGTGCCACCCTCAATTTTGGGCGTCGGATGTGTCGATTGCGACGGCGCTTAACAGTCTTCGACTGTTTAGCAACTGCTGACAGGTCGCGAATCATACCGAACATCGATATATCCATAATCTTCGTGAGGCCGGTACGGTTGATCTTGCCCCTCCGGCAGAAAACGAAGAATCCTAAAGTCCTAAACGGTCCTAAACTACTTTGCCAGCATCATCCTTGTCCTTGGAGGTCTCAAGCGCCTCTTCGGGCTTAGCGTCAGCCAGGATCGGCTTCTTTTCCTCCTTGGACGGTGCTTCCAACATGGCCAGCACGGACTTGTAGAAGAGGGCGGAGAAGATGAGACCCAAACCGAGGACCTGAAGCCCTGTGACCGGGTTGTGGTACTTCAAGTAAGAGACCAATATAGAGACAACCTGACGGACGTTCATCGTCGCTGCGAAGACCAAGGCCCCGAACTCCTTGATCCTGAGCCATGGCTGAATAACTTGACATTTCAAGCCTGGAACTATCGTCGTGATTTCTGTTCAGTCATCCTCGTTGCGGTTCTGCCCTAGTGATTCACCTCAAAAGTTTCAGCTGAAAACACCTCTACCTATCGAGGCCCAGAAGCTGCGAGTAGATGAAGAACTGGCTGGCGACCGCCGAGCCGCTGAGCAGGGCGGAGTCGAGCCAGAACTGGGGATGAGCGAAGCCAAAGGCAAGTGCTGGCATGAACTGGCCTCGTAGTGTCAGGGCGAGGTACCGGGAGTCATGAGAGGCCTGAAGATCGTATAGTTTCGCAGCTCTGAAGTATCAGACTTGCAAATGCATGCGGTTTTGAGGTCTGAGATGGTCTGAGGGGTTTCTCGCTCCAAGCTTTCCGCTGCTGTAGGCGTGTCTGCGCTCACACTCGGACATGCCAGGCGAGGTTATTGGTGCGTGGGGTTGGAAGTTTCAGCCCCCGCCTGTTGCAAGCAGGGTGACAAGGGACACAGTGGCAGAGAGACCATTGATGTACAACATCTGGTTGTACTTCGTCGTCTTATGCTCCTTGAAGAGTTTCTCTTGGAATGTGGAGGTAAGCCCATCCAGTGCCAGGAAGCAGCCGAGCAGCAGGAAGCCCTTGAAGCTGTTGCCGGCATCCAGTTTGGAATGGGTCGGCCCGGTCATCAGAAACTCGGTGCAGCCCAAGGTGACGGCAAGTGCTACAAGCCAGTCCCTACCACTGTAGGCCTTGCCGGCAATGATGATGCCCCAGATCATCACGGGCATCATCTTAAAGCTCTTCCCAAGCATCTGGACCGCGAAGGAAACATACTTTAGGGCCTCATACTGGCAGGAGCTGGCGTAGACGTTGGAGAGGGAAACGACAAGATACTTCCAAAGAGGAGCGGCATTCCTCATCGACTCACCTTTACCAGCTGCCATGCACACCGCAAACATCACTGCGGCCAGTCTGTTGCACAAGACTAGGAAGACGGAGTACTGGAACAGGTTCCCGTCGTAGGCCACGGTCATAATGCCCTCCTGGAGGATGCCGTACAAGACGAGGGTGCCGATGATGCCCGCACCATAGAAGACACACCAGCTGGCGGAGGAGACCTGACCCTCAGCCATGGCTACGCTAAGCGGATGGTAAAGAAATGGAGGTTGTGACTTCTAAGGCTCCGTGCCAGAATCTGAAAGACAAGCGAAGACATGTCCTCTGTGGCTGTTTCGCCAATCCTCCTGAAACACTGCACCCCGAATCCTAACACAGTGGACGAGTGTGTAATTACCACACTAGATACATGACGACGTCTGCACGCATGCAAGCATGCATGCATGCAAGCATGTCGGCAGCCAGATAGCAAGATTATGTCTCTGCGATACGGGAGACGGAGATGCATCCATGTACCATTGAGAATTCAGAGTAAGTGAAAGTCAGTACCAAGCCATTCGGGCTCGTATATGTGCCTATACGAATGATAGGCATACCGCTCGCATTAGAGGAGAGAGGGATAGTGAGAGAGAGAGAGGAGTGATGATAATGATGATTGTGGCGGTGGTGATGGTGACCATGTCGATGACGACGACGATCGTGATGGTCGGCCTGGTTCTCCTTTCTGGCTCGGGTTTGGTTTTTCAGCTCTGGACCAACCCATGACTAACATTCGCTTGTACGTTGTGTCTCTACAACGGGAAAGGTTCTCAATAATTTCACCCTCAATCCTGTCCCTTTAGAAGCCGCACTCTTAAACTGCCTTCGCTCCCGAAATCGCCCTGCAGCCAGGGCCTTGCACACCTCGTGGAAGACCCGGTTCGCCGCAGGATGGCTGGATGTGCGGAGGTGCGCCAACTGGTCGGGCCTTGGGTCTGGGAACGGTGGGACTTTGGTTTTCCTTCTGGCGTGAGGTTGAGGAGCCAAAGGAGGGATCAAATCAATCCTGGGCACAAGCCACAGCTCAAGGGCACGGCGTTGTTGTTGAAGGCTTGCTTTATAAGTTGTTGATGCGCCCTCCCTCAAGTTTCGGGCATGGGACTCAAGCCTTTAGCAGCGACGGTCCCGGTTTTGGGTTTAGGGGCTTCACTCAATGCTCCCAACGAGCAGCCTGGCTTGATCCGATGGAGGGCCCTTGAGGTCTATAGCAGGCTGTGCCTGAGAAGCTCCAACCCTTTCACGGTAAGCAGAAAAAACTTCGAAGAAGCGAAGCACTCTCAGGGCAAGCTAAGACTCCGATTTCAGTCCAGACACCTGCAAGCTAGAACGTGATTTGCCTGCAGCCGATCCTTTTCTCCCTCTCTTTCGAGCTCGCAAACTAGAGCCGCGAGGATCCGGTCGAACATCTGCTGTGTGACGTTCTCGTCACTGACCTGCTACCAAGCAAGTTCCGATAGGGCGGAATATCGAAACTGCATCTTGAAAGGCCGAGACCAAGTCCAAGAACAAGCTTAGCCAGCTTCACACCATTTAGGCTTGAAGTGCGACCTTCTGTCTGACCCCTTCAACCAGGCCTCGAAGCCCTCCGGCTTCGGATAGCCTCCAGGAAGCGGCCCAAAGCTGCGGGTGCAAAGCCTCGGGTCCCGCGGCGCCAGCGTCTTCCGAAACCCTGAGAGATGCCTCAAACTGCGAAGGCTGCCAAAAAGGAGTTGGAGCCCCAGCCCAGCATAAGAGAACCACAGCTGTCCCTGAAGCTCCAGACTCCAGACCAATGTGCTCAAACAAGCATCAAGCCGCAAGCTTCATGAAATCAAGAACTGAAACCCACGACACTACTCAGTACAAAACTTGGGGAACTTCGGAAGACCGATCAGCGCCTAAGTGCTAGTTACCCTGTGCATCTCCAAAGGATCCGAGAGAGGACCACAATGGCCAAGCGGCCAGAGAATGCAGCAGCCGGGTGACTTTGCCCAACCACTATCGCCAAGCCTTCGGGTTGAGGATTCAGTGATTCGGAGCAGGCGGGCGGGCCATGGGGTCATAAGGGGGCTGGGAGATGATCCCTGGAAGAGCTCGAGCACCATGTAAAGTGGAAGGTAACTCGGAAGCCTCCAGCTGACTTCATAAATAACCACAAACCAGCCCAGTCTCTCCATCTAACCTTAATCAGCTTATAGTAAAACCTAGCTTAGCATGGACGTGCCGGTCGTAGGCAGCTTGAACTTTCGGGGCTTGAGGGTGTAAGGTCGAGGGTTCCGGCGGTTTCGGGTCATTGTAGGATCCAGGAGTCCACCACAAGTGTAAACTGTTAGCAAACAGCCGGTTATCGTGAAGACTGACATGTGTGGCGACCTCCTGGTTCACTGAACTTCGACCGTGCACAACGATTTGTGTCTGCTGCAAGCGGTCGTCCAACGGCCTTCGCTCAACATCGGCCATGTCCTGCACACATAACACATCTCCAAGTGCAAGCTTGCTGATGTCGGGTGGGCATCTCAGGCTCCAATCTAGATGCGATGTGTAGCAGGAAAATCCAGACCAAATTCAGACAAGGAGCAAGCATGCACACAGGTCAACATGCCTTTTTGTTCAAAGAGATGCGCCTGTACTGGGTCTGCTCTGATCTCTAATGACAGGGTATCTGTGCAGTTCTCCCGGCACTGTGACCAGGACACAAGGAAAACGGCCGCGCGCATCCCTGGAAGAACACACACCGACAAGACTCCGCCTTCATCGAGCTATGTTTGGTTGCGGTTTTTCAGGGCTGCCACGAAGCCTCGTACAGATCAGCATTGACCTTGCTGCTAGCTCTCCTTCCGTCTGCACCGACATGTTACACTCCAGGGCTCGTGGCTCTCGAAGGCTAAGCCCTCAGAACTAAATGGCAAGTTAAAGCAAGCACATGTATCGATGTGTTTGTCTGCGCGACTCTGTAAGGTAAACATACGGAACGGTGGTGTGCTCGTGTAATAACTCATAAGCACCGGCTTGTATGCTGTAGGTAGGTAGGTAGGCAGGCAGGCAGGCAGACAGGCAGGCAGGGAGCCGAGCATGCAATTGTCTATGCATGTGTGTATATATATATATATACACATGCATATATATATATATATATATCAAAAGCACATATGTTACATACTATGTGATGGTGCACTTATATAATACGTATTACTTCAAACAACGAGCTGATGGTTCCAGTCCATTGACGGGGTCCTGCCAAGTTCCGTCATTAGGCCGCATAAAGAAAAGGGAGAGCTCTCGGCAAGTCGCTAGGTGCAAAGATTTCACTGCAACGGGCTGCCTCATCCAGCCCGTGCAAGGGCTACGGACTGCTTGGCTCCTGGAATCTCTGAGTATCCCTGCAGAAGGAACGGGTGTAGTCGGGACCCTCTTCTGAAATTTCTGTTTCTGCCGCACTACTTGTGCTGGCAGCACAAAAACAACGATGACCGGGTAAGGTATGGGCATCTCATTTACACTTTCGTGCAACTGAATCATCCCAGGACCAAGGCTGTGCAATTTGCGAGCCACGCCTCCGTACATACAAGCGACGCGTACGACGTCAGATATAGGCATCCTGTACACAGGATGTTTCTCAACCCAATGCTGCTAAGATCTAGAATTCAACTGCTGTACAAATCACCATCAAGCTTCTGGAATACGTAGTGATGCTAGGGATCATAACAGCAAGATGCCCGCATAGGCTTCTCCAGTAAGGAGAAACAGAGCCCTGCACCGCAGCTGCGGCACTGAGGATCCCAGCAAAGCAAACTCTCCGACGCTCTGCGCAGTGGGCTCACACAGGAGTGTGCCCGGTGGCTGAGGTCATCACACGTTGCATCGCATACCCAGGGAGCCCAGTGCTTACCTGGCTAGGGCCAGTTAAGGCGCATCGAGAATGGAGGAGAGATGAACCCCGATAAGCCCTAAGCTAAGCCCTAAGCTGAGGATCTCTGCGTGACTTGGTCACTCATATACTGCATAACACCCACCATTGCAGTAATCAGCTTACCCGAGCGCAGATCACACCTTGAAGACGTACGCATGGCAAGCAAACCTTGTACACCAAACCTTCCAGTCTTCCAGTGCCCGTTCGCTATATGAGTCTTTCGTGTCTTCACACGTTCTTCGCAATGTGGGCCAGTCTTCAGAACTGCATATGCTAGGCCTGCGAATAAATATTACATTTCTATATAGGACTTGTAGCTCTATTGCATCCATGCAGCTGCGGCAGGACCAGGTTCTTAGCCTCAGCCACCCGCGCGGCGGGGCGGTGGCGGAAGATCCTGCGCGGCCGAAGAGCACACGGGGCTTAAGTGCCGGTTCAGGTTCGGATCGAGATGGAACCACACGTGCACGAGCTAGGATGGTGCATTTTCTACTTGATTCATGCGAAAATTTCGCTGTAGGGAACGTCATCGTTTTACGGGGTCTCTATACATGCCTGAACTTAAGAACATGAAGAGGCTGCTATATCGGCGAGCACCGCAGCCTCCTGCTGCTCCTCCCCCGCCTCCTACTACCACAACTACCACCGCGACTACGACGACGACGACGACGACTACCACTGCTTCTGTTCCTAGGGCTGCTATTCCTACTGCTCCTGTGCTCCTGCTGCTGCTAACCCAATGTTGCTCCATGTTGCTCCAACAAAAACATGTGGCATTCTCAAACCCTTCCAGGGCGTCCTTGATTGTTTTCATCTTCGGGCCCTGCCGATCCGGCTTGTCGGGCTTGCCGCCACCACCACCGCCTCCGTAGCCTTCACAGCAACTGCAGGGCTTTGGGGTTTAAGGCACGGGATGCCGCATTTTGGCTTCAGGGCTTTTTCGGACATGCAAATGTTGGGCTTCTGGCTCACGGGTTCCAAAGGATTCGGTGCTTGGACCCATAGCGTAACAACTCACTCACTCATTTCACTGATGTTTTGACAGGTTTGCAAGACCCCACAGCCGCACTCAGCCGCACCAAGCAATCCGAAAAGCTCTAAATCTAAGACCCTGTGAATAAAGCTCGCCTCCACTTGAGGAGGAGGAGCCTCCCCACATCCAATCGAACCAGCCTTTCTCCTGCCGTTGCCGGACTTCGCTGGAGTCTATGGAGTCTAAGGCTTGCCCGTTTGGGACCCTGGGCAAGAAAGGCTTACGGCTAAGGTTTAAGTAGCCTTAATTATCATGGTTCTTCAAAGAAGCGAAACTAATTTCGTCATTATTCTGAGCAGCATCGCATGCTTTCGATGCGGCGTAGGTGAGCTACTCTGTCAGCGTTCTTCACTGTGGCCGGGCGGCAACAGTTGGTGCATTACTCGGAAGCCAAACTGCGGCTGGATCGGCAACTCCCTACACTATTGTCCACAGGATCTACCGAGCTCGTTTATCGCGCAGGCGAAATCTGCAGTCGCACTCTCTCAGGCTGGATTTCAAGATACCCCCAAATCCGCACATCACTCGGTGCCCATGCAGAACCCCAAAATCACCCTCCCAGGATCCCTAGATCCGAAGTCAGCTTTCAACATTTCTAAATCCACCAAACAAGCAGGAAACCTCGGAGCCGCCCGGAGCGATGGCCGCGGGCCGCTTGTAGGCCTTCGGGTTTCGGAGGTTTCCGGGGTCCGAGGCAAGGCTACCAGGTTCTGGATCTATGCAGGAGCTGACTATCCTAGTTGTGTCTGTTCTACGACGTTCGAACTCGTTGAAGAATCGTGGAAAGCTGCAGTTCGCTCCAAACCCGACCCAAGGCTTCACCTTCTTTCACCTTCTAGTTGCTTTCCAAACCCGTACACAACACATGGAACCCATACTGAACAGCCCAAAGCAGGGTGCTGATGCCTGAGCTCACCAGCCTATTCACTTCCAACGGAAAACAAATACCACAGCAGCTTCATTGCAACCCCGAAAAGTAGCTCGCCAAAATAAAACAAAAACCTGAAGATTGATTGATGCCTCAGGCCCTAAACAACAGCCTCCGAAGATTTGGCATTCGGATCTGCTTGGTGTTCCTCGACAGGTGTGGATTGAGGTGGTCTGGCATAGCTACAAGGCACGCACCCATGTGTAGCTCCTTGAACCTCTGCTTCTGCATAGCGCGGATGTCCGCCAGGCTCATCTCCTGTTCCTGGCGCTTCTTCTCCGGATCCTCCGAGTTGCGACTAACTAGACGCTTTAGCCGGGATTCAAGGCTTCTTGCTGTTATGGTCCACATCAGGCTTTAGGACATGCTCCGTGGTTAAGAGCGGAGTCGTTAGTCTGGGCTTGGAGGTTTCGGCCCTCGCGCTGCGTGGGTCGTCCGTTGTTAGTGAAAGCTGCAACGGACTAGAGGTGACTGTGGTAGTGATCCTTTGAGGTTGAGGGCTGAGGGCTTGCGACAGTGGGTTTCGAACTCAAAGCTTATGGCTTACGGGCTAGGATCTCTTCAAACTTCGGGTTTGCAGTTCAAGCCGGGCTAGGCCTCGAGCTGATTGATGCTCTGTGCAGTTCGACAAAAAACAGTGAAGTTCTTTGGAAGGTAGCTACGGCTTCAATTTTCATCGGGAGATGTGCTACGTGGTACGGTGGTACATGTTGGACGTTACGGCAAGACTAGGTGCCGACCCTCCCACAACTGAACATTAACAAATCGGCCGCAGCAGCTCCACAGCTCTCATACATCCTCATGCCAACTTGCCCTCCCGCGCGTCTCCTCACGGCGTTTGAAATCGAAGGCGGACTCCTCCAGCAGGAAATAGTAGGACTTTCAATGCACTTTCCCAAGAACCAAAACCCCAAAACCCCAAGAAGTCTCTCAAAACCGGTCAGTTACTACTGTACTGTAAATGGGGGTTACTTGACTTGCTTACAATTCTCTGAGCCGGTATTTGCACCAATAACCTATCCTGTCCGCGGACAAGATTTGACATTTGCCCCATGCTAGTTGGCGGCTGTGTTAAGCCGCAAATCTCAGAAAGTCTCAGAAAGCGTCAGCCCTGATTCCGCATCCGGTCCTTCTTGTCGCCCTTGGGAGCCGCGGACACGGGCGCTGGCTGGGCGGGCGCTGGCGGCGCGGGCGCCGCGGACTCAAGAAAGCCACTCTCCCTCAAAGTCTTTCTATTTGTGGGTTTCGGATTCTATAGGTTTCAGTATGTTTCAGTGCTTCGGGCATGCTGAAATTCATGTGGGGGAGAAGTTGCACCGGTCCTAGGCAGTGGTGCTAGTCTGTGCACGTGCTGACTTTCACAGTCTTCTCAGCAGGCTCTTTGGATGCACGAGCCCACATGCCCAAAAACTGGGTGCTTGAAATGCCTGCTATTCTTGTCCTGACGGCGTACAATACACTAGATTCGATGTTGCCAAAAGCCGCCCAACCGCCTGTAGGGTCTTCGGGGTGGGCTCCGGCGTCGGCGACTCGTCCTGGAGCTGCATTTTGTAAGCTGTGAATAGTGTCCATCCCGCATCTGATTGGCAGTCATCTGCACACCAATTCACACGAACTGGATAACAGCAGGTATCTAGACCTTATATGAATTCAAAACTTTGAAGCACCACCACAACCTGCTGCAGCCCCACCCTGAATGGACCCTGAAATCTCACAGTCAGACACCCAGACCTTACTCACCAACGGTCTAAACTCGTCCCGAAAAATCCACAAACCCAAGGCCAAAAACTTGCACCCAACCCCCGAGTCTTGTATCCCCACACCCTCAAGTCTAAACCTCGAACACCCTCAACCTAAAGACCCAGTAAAGCTCCCCGAACAAGCAAGCTAACGAAAAGCCACAGCCTACCTCATAGCACCCTCACCAGCAAGCCTTACGGAACGCCTGAAGGATCCTGACAGAATCTCTTTACAGGGACCCTTTAGGCATCCCTTGAAGGAACGCCCAAAAAGGGAGTTCCTTGGGAGAGCTGCCCTCCGACTGGCCCTCCGTGGTGGAGGCGGTAGCTGAGGCGGTCTCCATGGAGAGCTTTAGGGCCGCCTCCCGGGCTTCCGAGTTGTTGGGAACTGACTTCGGGTTACTGGCTAGTTTGGGTTTCACATGAATCCAACATTGGAGATAGTTGCAGCGATCTGGACATGTAAGGCTAGCCGAGCACTAGTGGCTTAGCTAGCCCGACACCCCAGAAGTCACAGTTGCGTCTCAGCTTTGGGGTGTTAAGGGCTTAAACAAGCGGCGACGGTTGTCAGCAGTAAGCATGTCTTCTCCCTTGTGGTGCATACTTGCCGGGAGTATGTGCCGAGGCTTGGCCCTGAAGCTTGCAGCTTCAGGCTTAGTATCCGAGAAGTCTTTATATAGGGGCCTTCATAGTTCGAATAGGGTTTTGGGGCCCATTATACTATAGTTATAATAAAGGCGTATTCAGGCCCGGCTTGTTTCGTCTTGCACAAAGAGTATTGAGCTGGCTCGAGAATCCTAGCGAAGTAACTTGAAAGCAACGAAGCAACCCGTACTTCTCGAGAGCCACACGGGTTCGTGCTTGGGGATTCGGCGTCATACCCATTCATTCCATGGGTTCGCATGATGAAAATATCTGATGCACAAGCTGCTCGGAAGAGAAAACAAAACCGGCCATTGAATCCAGAAGGCAGAAGACCTCTCCTTTGAGTCTCAAGGCCACACGAGGAAGCGGTCCTGCAGCTGCTCCTCTTCGGACATCGCTTGCGGTGCCGCTGGAGCCTCCGGCCTCATATGAGATCTGTGATGGAAGAAGAGACGATAGATGTGCCGATGCTCCTCACGGCCTGCCACTTTTGCATCAGTTCTCCAGCATTCCCCCATCAATATGACAAGAACCTTCCTAAGGCTGCGACTTCTTGGGTCTGAAGTGGGATCTGAATCGCCATCACGGAAAGCCTAGACCGACTCCCGAATCTGCCCAGCAAGGAAACCCCGCCCTGCGACTTTGACACGATGTTCGGGTTTGAGGAGAAGCCCGAAGCCCCAGCTCCCTGGACCCTGTATCGCCTGGACGCCACCGGAGCCCTAACTACCTCCTCAAATCCCTGCAGTCGGGTCACTTGGGTGCAGACCCACGCTCCCTTCGGTCGAGCTCCAGCTGCTTCAGGAGCTCGGCCTTGTTGGGGTCCTCAAGCTTCGGGATTTCAGCACAACTGGGACAAGCCGGGCGAGGCCACAGGTTCAACTCGCACCAGGCAGGCACACAATCCAATTACCACGCTGGCGACAACTTGGTGCAGACATCAGATGAGACCAGAACCCTACCAAAAAGGGATTTCAGGTTTAGAGTTTCGGGGGTTTCGGGGCTCCTCGAGGTTGGGGCTTCGGGTTCAGGGCAGAAAACTGAGCAGGATCAAGAGGGCATTTTGGGATTCAGCTTCCAAAGCTGAGGGTGCTGAATGTGCTGTGAGCATGATTGTTCGCATCACCTTGGCCACTCCGACTGCAAACAGATTACTACGAGCTCTCATCCTTCCGCCAAGGTTTGTGTTACATGAATTTGGCATGTGGTATCAACGTGACTTCTTAGCTCTCTGGGGACACACAAGCTTCATGGAGCTGGGGTTGCAAGGCTTAATTTCTGTCCATGTGCCTTCCGAGCCCTCGGAACGTCTGGTGGATTGATGTGGTTGTTCCAAAGCTTCTCATAAAATTGAAGCGATTTCGGACGTTTCCGGCTGCGGGGTACCTCGGGTCCTTTACTTGGGGTTGCCAGCTGAAGACTTACGGTGGTTGTTAGGCTTCGGCGTAAGCGCCAGTGCCTGGTAGACTAGCTGATAAGCTCTTCCCGAAACCGTCCTGCGCAAGCTTTGCCGCCCGCTTCTCGGACTCTTGAAGCTTGCCGAAGTGGCTCTTGGCCTTGACGGGGTTTCGGGTCTGACCAGGAGTAAAGAGTAAGGTAAGGTGCCATGAAAACTAGCTCGTCAGACGATGATGCCGCATATATGACGAGAGGTAGGATGTGGTTGGAAAGGAGAACAATGACAACAGTTACAATGTAAATGTAAGATGTTGCTAGTATAGGTGGTGATGCTCATGACACACAATCAAGTGAAACTTAACACGGTGCAAGGTTTTCTGATGGCAGCAAGACCAAGTGCCGACACAACGGTATGGTGACAGGTCAGCGCTGAGGTACTCTCAGAGTCTCTACTCAACCAGTAGTCATACGTTCTGATTCACAGCGTCTGGCCTCCAAGATCTTGACCACGTGCTGTGGGAAGTCCAGCTTCACGCTCTTGGGCAGCCTCACTTTGCCATGCAGATTCCCCAAACCCCACCGGACACTCAAATGCCCAGCTTGCAACTGAAGGGTCAGGAGGCGCCGCGCCGTCTCTACAGGTGTCTAGCAGGGTCAAACCTGCACAAACGGAAATTGCATACTCTTTCCGGAACTCCGAAGCTGTAAAGGGCCAAAGGACTGCAGGAACTCTCCATCTTGTTGCCAACCCATGCACTCCATCACCGGGATGATGCCCGGCAGTCCGAAAAGTGTTGAGAGCTTCTCCTTGGCACTCCGATTTTTTGGGGATGTGGGCTGCTGACCTCTTGCTCATGCGGGTCTGGAGTTGAGAGTGTTACTTAAGGGTACGGAGGAACAAAACTTGAAGACAAGTCTAACCAGTCCCAGGTTCGTTCGTGGTACGAACACGCCGAAACTTCTCCTCCTGTGGGTTCTGCGCCGTGTTTCGGGTGATCGTCTCGAGGAGATCCAGTGCCTTGATGGCACCATCCAGCGGCAGGGCCTCACACAGGCCCAGTATTTCTATCATGGCCAAGGCAGAGATCTTCTATCTCTTCTGCATGACAGCATGAGAATGACAGAGCATTGTCTAGTGTCCTTTCTTGGGAAGCGAAGGATGCATAACTCTCCACTGTTACTATAACTGCGTAATGTCCACTACATAATTTTGCACCTGCCTACTCCTACCTCTCTCCCGGGAGTAACATTGGCAGGATGCACTTTGCAGAGATGCAAGCTTTGGGAGGGACATCGCAGACTCTCCAAACCTCCGCAGTTAGCCCCTTTCCCTTTTCCACCAACGGCGAGACCCGCAGGAGCTTCTCGAACTCGTTGTACTCATTGGCGAATTTAGTCGGCGCTAGGCCGTAGTACGACATGGCCGGCGCAGCAAAAGAGCAGGCCGGCCCTCCTTGAACCAAAGTGCCTGAGGCAAAACCGCCAGGTAATACGGCATCCGACGAAATTCTCAACTTGTGTTTCGAAGGCAACTCGACGGGCTCCTCCACACAGAACCAGTAAGCTTGAAGCAGGGCCCTATCTTATTCCCGAAGTGAGAGCATCTCGGGGTCTCATACGTTCGCATCATCCAAACTTGTGCGTGTACTTAAACCTTGCACAGGGTTCTGCAGAGGCAGGTGGCAGACTGGCTTGTGGCGGCTACTAGTACGCGTAGCTATGGAATCGAGCAAATCGCGGTACTTTCTAGCCCTGGAAGTTATTCTTGAGATTACAAGAACATGAAATCAATAAAATCCATGCATCAGTGTTCATATCATGATACAGCTCTGACCAAGCTGTCCACGCCAGTAGCGTATTCTTAGACTCTGAATGCCACCATTTCATTTACACTCAACTTAGCAAATCGGGTTGAAACACGTCCTCTGCACCGACGCCGCGGAAAAGGTGCGTAAGCACGAAGTAGAGCGGCGGCTGTCCAACTCGAAGGGCGTCAAGGTAGCACACAGGATCCGAGGCATCAATTGAAGCAGGTGCAGCCTTTCCGATCTGGAAAGATCATCGCCGTCAGAGGCAGCGCATCCGTGTTCAGTTCGTGAAAAATATCGGAGCATTCCTCAGCAGGGACGACATCAGCTGCATCTTGGTGGAAAAGCGGAATATCAGGTGGTGTGTATGTAAGTACGTGTACGTATTCATGTAACTAAACACATACACAGCGTCATGCAGAGTCATTCACATACATTCCGACGTCATAGAGCTCCTGGTTTTCCGGCTGAAGCTGTGAAACTCCCCACACAAGGGTCTCAGGCGCAGCTGCCTGCGCCCTCCTCGAAGAGGGGAACTGTTTGTCATGCTATATTGGCTGGAAAGGGGATCCCAAGCACATGCAACACCTTTCGCACGCCTGGCCACACATCCCCACCAGCACACATCCTCCAAGCATACAAAAAGCTCCAGGAGCTTGATCAAAAACAATCAATGGTGGACGACTACAACAACATGTAGCCTTGAAGTTGGACTTGCCATCAACAGCCGAAAACAGCAACAAAAATATGATTTGATTTGTGTCAGCCTAATGGTCAGAGCCACGAAAAGACTGTACTGGTAGATCATCGGCACAGTTTGTTTTGCCTCTGCTCCAAAAGACGATCTTGATCCGGGAATCCGGATTGTAGTACGTCCGACTGTTGCGAGCATCCGTACAGCAATTTTGCGTGCGTGAAAACAGTTGACTTGAAACACAAACCTCGCTTGCAGCTAAGCGTCTTCGCTTAAGTCCGACCTCGGTGTTTATCCGTGCACTAACTCAACTATACCAGGAAGGCGCGGTGTAGATCCACTGCCAAGTTCAACCACCCACTACTTTTCAATTTTCGGTACGCTGTGTATTGCTTCCCGGGCGCACGGAAGCCGTGAGAGCAAGATTCCTTAAGTTACCAAGAGCACTGAAATTGCTAGCTTTTTTCGGCCCAACGTTTCCTCGGCGCCCGAAACCGCTACGACCGAACAGACATGGGCCTTACTCAAATGAATGCCTGTGGCACTGAAGCCTCGGCAGACCAATGAAATCATTCCTTCCAGGTGGCAGGGTCAGCACGAAGTAGCACCTGATCTCATGAGATCTCTGCACAAGGGCCATGGGTGCTCATTCGACATGAACCACAACAGAAAGCCACTGTGCGTTCTGCAAACCTCGAGCCAGAAAGACAAGCAAACGTCTCTGGGAGAAGCCGGGCGCAGGTTCCCCACGCTGTCGAGGATACGTCGAGCTTGCTCCTCACTGCGGCAGATCATCCTGGGTGGCACGAGGTGGATTTTCGCAAATAGACCGACTTATAATTTTACGGTTACTTATTAGGTCTGACATATGAATATAAGTATTCTTGTCGTGGCGAGTCGTGGATTCGCATTTACACAGAATCATGTTCCGACTCCTGCTGAAAGCAAGCTGACTTGCTTCGTTCGGACCTGTCCTTGCGAATTCTGAGCTCAGGGTTTCGAAAGCCCAAACGAGAATCCAATGGCAATCTGAACTCCTACAGATCCATCCTGACGGCCGTCGTTCCCCAGTCATGCTGAAACTTCACTCCGGGCACTCAACATATGCCCGCTGCAGCAGAACAGTCGCCGAACGCCGACGCTGGTGCTTGGCGAGAACCTTACTTAATTATGCTGCTACCGGGAGCTTTCGGGTTGAACACACACGGAACTTCGAACTGACCTTGACTTTGAGAACTTGAGGCCTACATCCGCAATCATGCGAAGGCTTGAATGAGGGACTGTGCCCAGCAGCAGCAGCCGAAGCAGCAGCAGCGCAGCAGCGACAGCAACAATAACCCAAAGAACACAGTAACGGCAACAGCAACGTCAAACAACCGCCACAACCACAACCGACAAGGACAATAACCCAAAGAACAACAGTACAGCAACAGCAACAGCAACGTCAAGCAACCGCCACAACCACAACCACTACTTCGAAAACTAGCAGTACTGATCACACTCTGCAGCAGTGCAATCATTGTCACCGTCGTCGTCACCATCAACATCATTGTAGCCATCGCTATCACCATCATCGCCATCATCAACAACATCACT